GCCCAAAACCTGGAAATTGTCTAGAGCTATAAGTTACTTTGCTTAGCAAGAGGGACTAGAGGAGAAAAGAGAACGACTAAGATTTTTTTTTTTTTTAATGGTTAGAAAGAGAGGTCCTCTTCAAACCCAAATAAAAGAACCAGCAATTTGATGGTGGATTGAGGATTTAGGTGAATCCAAAGAATTATCATTAATTTTTTTAGGTGTGTTAATGGTGTTTTGTTAAGAAAATAATATAATTAAAAGCAAGACAAACTAACTAAAAGTCCCCCCAAAATGTCCTGGGAGATAGATGGGTGGTGAATCCTAATCATGATCATCAAAGTATATTCTTGAAAGCCTGGCACTGTCATCATGACTTAAACAACCAAATGAAAGTCTTGTGAATGAAGACAATCCCTGCAGGAGACAGGTTTGCTGGGCCAAGAAAACACTTAAGCCGTGGCCTGCTCCCCGGCCCTTGGTGGATGGGCACGTGGGTTGGGAGTCGCAGGTGGGATGCAGAAAGCAAACCCTCTGAACCTGCTTGGAGGAAGCTGCTTTATCTTGAAGGGCAGCAAATTCAGGAGAAGGATTTTTCATATTGGTTCTGGACAGACCTCTGGATTTTATATTCTCCAGGAATGCTTTCAGGCCCTGCCATTAAAGATGGGTGGTAGTTATTTACCCCAAGTAGGAAATTTCCATCAAAAATCATGATCCCGAGGCACCTGAGTGACTCAGTCAGTTAAGCGTCTGCCTTCGGCTCAGGTCATGATCCCACGGTCCTGGGATCGAGTCCCTCATCGGGCTCCCTGCTCGGCAGAGGGTCTGCTCCTCTCTCCTTCTGCTCCTCCCCCACCACGGCTCCTGCTCTCTCGTGCTCACTCTCTCTTGCTTGCTCTCTCTCTGAAATAAATAAAATCTTTAAAAAAAAAAAATCATGATTCACACCCAGACAGTATAAAAGACTGCATTAGGGCCATGTGGTACTTTCATTCAGAAGAACTGAGCAGGAGAGGCTGTCCAGGGAACTTCATCCTTGTTTTAATTTTGTAGCCCCCAGAAGAGATCATTCCATGCCCTGCTTTTCTTCTTCATCCACTGGTGCTGTTTCTCCTGTGCTAAAAGAAAACTGTTTGGGGGCGCCTGGGTGGCTCAGTTGGTTGAGTGTCTGACTCTTGATTTCGACTCAGGGCATGATCGCAGGGTCCTGAAATCAAGCCCCACAATGGACTCCATACTCAGCACAGAATCTGCTTGAGATTTCTTTCCCTCAGCCCTTCCCCCTCTCTCTTTCTCTCTCCCTCCCTCTCTAAAATAAATAAATAAATCTTTTAAAAATTTGTAAGGAGGCTGATTATAGGAGGTATTTTTAACCAAAAAATATGTGTGGGTGCCCAATCATCCACCAAATGTATGTGACATTCACTGACTCCCCCCATCTAAAGTCACTCCCCATATTACTCGGTCACATTACTTGTATATGTCCTCCATAGTACTTGGGACAGTTGGTATTTCATTTGTGGAGGTTTTTTCACTTTTTTTTTTTTTTAACCTCTCCACTAGACCTTCAGCTCCATGAGGACAGGACCTGGGTCTATTCTGTTCACTCTCAGCCTTTAGCAAAATGGCACAAAGTAGGCATTTAGTGAATAGTTGTTGAATGAAAAAATGAGTGAAGAGAAAGTTTAGTGTCATCCAAATTCTACCAAACACAAGAGTGGGGAAAATAGAATCTTGGCTGGTTTCTATGTTGAACATTCTTTTAGGAGTGAACAGGACTAATAAGACTATTGCTCTTTTTCAGTAGAGTCCAATTATAATTACTGTTCATTTACCTGTGTTCTCCTGGAAGGACTACTTAAGCCAATTACTAGCATTAAAACACAGAAATGTGACATTTCACTGTTGAGATGGCAATCTATTTAAAATATGTCCTAATTTTACTCTCTTGTTAGAAAATTCTGACAAATCTCTTTACCAAGCCCTCTCCTAATTGAGCCTAATCACAGTAGAACCATCAGTATACTTCAGAGCTGGACTGGGGAGTGAGCTGGTCCCGAGCTGGGTTCCAGCTTGGCCGATTACAGCCATGTGACCTGGACCGGGGTAGCTTTCCAAAGCTTCCTCTTCCCCACCTAACAATGCTTCCCTGGGACGGTGCCTGGCTCATGTTAGACCCTCAGAACTATTCAATTCCCCTACTTTCCCCACCAGCCCAAAGGAGCCATACTACCCAAGACATCTTGGACTTACTCATCCAGGCATTAGCAACGTTCAACTTGAGAAACAAGATTATAGGCCACACCACAACTGCCCCAACTCAAACTTCCTTTCCAGTCTCCATATTTATTACGCTTCCCCATCAGATGGACACCCACAGGCACACACACACACACACACACACACTCTCTCTCTCTCTCTCTCTACCTCAGTCCTCCTTACTTAACACAGAACCGCACTGGTTCCCTCCCTGCCACCCCCACAGAGTCTCCAAAAACAGCTTTTTACTTTGTTGCTCAATATGGCCAAGTGTTCAAAGGCCGAAGAGGGTAAATGTGTTATACAGGCCAAGGTTCCCCAATTCCGTCATCAACAGGCTGCAGTTAAGGGGTACACATACAGCATACAGCCACATACTTGGCGGAACAGTGGCAAATTTCTTTAACGTTCAGAAACTCCTACAAACTGATCAGGAAAATCAATTAAGAAAAAGTGAACTACCCAATAGAAAAATGAAGAATAAAACCAGCAAAAGAATGCAAAAGGCCAGTACCCCTGTGAAAATATGCTCAGGCTTACTCATAATTAAGACAAATCAAAACAACCAGACACCATTTTCACCTATCAGATTAACAAAAACTAAAACCAATAATACCTACAGTGTTGGCAGAAGTGCGAGAAACAGGCCAGTAATCGTGTACTCTACTGACAGAAGGATAAACTGGGCAATTAACAATATTGAAAATTGGAATACAAAATTCAACTACATTAAGTCAACTTCTGTTCATCAAAAGTCATCCATTTAAAAAGTGAAAAAACAATCAGGGCGCCTGGCTGGCTCAGCCAGTAAAGCATGGGACTCTTGATCTCAGGGTTGTGAGTTCAAGCCCCACGTTGGGTGTGGAGATTACTTAAAAATGGGGTCTTTGAGGGACACCTGGGTGGCTCAGTTGGTTAAAAGTCTGCCTTTGGCTCAGGTCATGGTCCCAGGGACCTGGGATTGAGTCCCACATCAGGCTCCCTGCTCAGTGGGGAGTCTACTTCTCCCTCTACCCCTTACCACCTTATGCACACAACTCTCTCTCTCTCTTTCAAAAAAATAAAATCTTTTTTTAAATATGGGCTCTTTGAGAGGCACCTGGGTGGCTCAGTCGGTTAAGCATCTGACTCTTGATTTCAGCTCAGGCCTCAATCTGGTGGGTTCAGGCCCCCGAGTTGGGCTCCATGCTTTGTATGGAGCCTACTAAAAAAAGGGGAGGATCTTTGAAAAAAAAGTGAAAAGACAATCACATACTGGGAAAAAGATATTATTTAACTCAGACCAGTAAGCACAACGTATAATGAAATTCTGTAAGTCAACAAGGAAAGGACAAACACTCCGACAAAAAAAAAAAAAAAATGGGCAAAAGCAATTTACATAAGAGGAAATATGCATAGCCACAAAATATATGAAAAGATGCCCAATCTCACTAGTAACCAGAGAAATGTAAATGAAAACCACAAGTTCACATCTATCAAATACACAAAAATTAAAAGGTTGGACAATACCAAGTGTTGGTGAGCATGTGGAGTAACTAAAGGCAGGTTTAAGAGTGTAAAACCACTTTGAAGAACAACTTCTAAAATCATCAAAGATTCTCCTATTCCAAGAAACAGCCATTCCCTCCTAGGCAAATAAATACCCTAGAGAAGTCCCCACATACTGACAACAGAGAGATATACACAGGAATATTCATAGTAGGGGCTCCCAGCTAGCTCAGTGGGTAGAGCATGTGACTCTTTATCTCGGGATTGTAAGTTTGCGCCCCATGTTGGGTGTAGAGATTACTTAAAAATAAATTCCTAAAAAAATGTTCATGGCAGCATTGTTTGTAGCAGAAAAAATTGATTCAACCTTAATGTCCACTAACCAGAAAATGGATACATAAGTTGTGGTATATTCATATATATGAAGTTATTTGATACTGAAAAGAAATTAACTCAAAAATGGTATCAAGATGGAAGAATGTCAGAAATATAATAATGAGGAAAAGATGCAAGTCTCAGAAGAATACATACAGCAAAGTACCCTTAATGTACAAGGTAAAAATAGTCAAATCATTGCATGAAAATAATAAATACCAATTCAGAATCCTGGCATCCTTTAGGTGGAATGGGAGGGATGACAAGCAGGGCTGTACAAAGGGGCATTTACCTGTGTTGGCAATGCTGTTTTTTAAGCTCTTTTTATTCTTTATGTCTTTTTCTTTGTATATGTTTCAAGTAGTACAAAATAAAAATTTTTTAAATTTAATGTATATATACTTTCACTTAATTCCACTGCTAGGAATTTATCTTACATATGTATTAGCATATGCACAAGCTTGCAACAATATATACAAAGATGCTTTTTGTAGCAGCTTATAAGGGGGGGAGGGAAGCAACACAATATGGGAATATTATATACAGTATTCAATGAAACACCAGAGCTAGACAATCATTAAAAAGAATGAGACAGGCCTGTATGTCAAGATACATATTTAAGTGGAAAAAAATTGTAGGACTAGACCATTTGTGGAAAAATATTAGATTAGCTGTACACACACACCCCCATATGTATAACAAAAAATTTCTGGGTCACAAGAAACCATTAACTTCAATCTACTCAGGGGAATAAGAATGGATAATGAGAGGGGACTTCTACCTTTCATTTTACACCCTTCAGAATGATTTGCATTTCTATTTTTACCATTAGTGTGTATTACCCTTATAATGCGAATAAATAGATAAAGCGGTGGAAAAAATAAACAACAGTGTAAGATTAGATGCTGGTTTATTGAGATTTTATCTTAATGACAAAAATCATATGAAATTCTTTTCATCATTTTTATAATGCTTATCTCCTGGGGAATTGATACCACTCAAAGAAACGACTCCTAACGGCGGCTGCTTTGTACAGGACAATAATTAGTGCTGCAGTTAGAGTAAATTATTTGTGGCTCTTTCACAGCTTTATGTAACTATCTGCAGAGCATGTCACCAATATTCGCTTTATTTCAAATCAACATTCTAAAGACCATAAACTGTTTGGTGTTTTTTTTTTTACGTCAAAGAGTTTGTTTTTCAAGAAACCCATTCAAAGCGGAATAAAGACCCGAAGCACAGGAGCAGAGCAGGCCAGCACACCCCAGCCGAGGTGGTTCGCGAGCCCTGGCGACATGGGGCGCTGCTGCTGGGGTCTGACCAGAGACGGCAATCTGGCCTTGGAGCCGCGCTGGTCCTGCTCAGCTGGTCCGCACCCCCCGCCGCCGGAACGCGGGCAGAGCCGAGCTGCGGGCGTCACCGCCAGGGACTACACTTGGCTCACACGAGGAGCACAGCCACGGGTCCGCAAAGCCTTCTTGGGCTCCAGCCTGGCCTCTGAAGTCAGGAAGTTTGCAGCTAAAAAGGAAGAGAAAGAAGCTGAGTGTAGAGAAAGAGGCTCTGAGTGCTTCTGGGGCAACCCAAAGTCCCATTTCCCAGACTGGCCCCGGGGCAGGGAAGGGGGGGTAGGATGGGAGCAGAGCCAAGCGATGGACCCTCAGAACCTCCCCACTGCACTGAAGCCAGAACTCTGGTTTTTTTTATCTATTTTATTTGACTGCCAGGTAAAATTTATTTCCAAAAAGAGGAGGCTAAAAATAAAAGTTTGGAAATCTTTGACCTGCACGGTACTGGTAGACAGGTGGTCCTCTAACATAACAACAAAACTTTTTACAACCGTTCTTCTATTTCTTCAGCTATAGGTGTGGGGAAGGATCTCATAATACCTACCCTCCTGAACCTTGCAGGCTGCTGGAAAGAGCAAATGAGGTAATAGTCATCTTCAGCTAAGAGGCCCTTAGGAAAATTTATTATTTCCTTCCTTTATTAATGGAGGGTATATCCGGTTCAAATAATTAGTCATGCAAGCGAGACTGGGTTTGCTCTAGAAGGAAAAGGAGAAGCAGTGGCAGCCTCAGAATAAGGAGAAGGACAAGGACTGGGGGGCGGGGGAAGGAGGAGCTGAAGGGGGGTTAAGAAGAAGAAAAACAACAGCAACAACAGCCAGTTAAATTTTTAAAGAGAAATTATCCTCTGTTCAAGTGCCTGCCACTTCAAGGAAATGAGGGAGGGGGCCAGAAGGGAAGGAAGTGGGGAGAGGACACTTGCTTTAAGCACTTGACATGTGCCAAGCACCGTGCCGTGAGCGAGATGCTGCCTATGTTTCCTTTAATCCAAACAGAATACGATGCAGGTGTTGTCATCCCCATTTTACAGATCAGAAAACTAAGGTTCCGAGAGTAAACAACTTAACCAAGTCCAGGTAGAACCTCTACTCACCCAGGTCGCTGCATATTCCCTTCACAGCCTGGCCACCGGCTTCTCCTCCCCAAGGTGGGTGTTCCCCGGCCCTGTTTCTCTTTCTCCCTTTCTGTTAGCTCCCCTTCAGATCTGTAGTATCGCTTTCATCCTTTGGGTTAGTTCCTCTGTGCTGTTCCTCTGTCCTGATTTCCAGCCCCCTGGACAGTTCCCAGTTGGGATCCCACTGTCCTTACAAACATGGCTCTGAAAGGAGCTCCGCCCCTCCAGATGACACACCCTCTCCACCTGGGGGAACCCTCTTCTCCCTGCCTCCCAAGCTCAAAATCGCGGTCACTTTGGGTCATTTCTCTCCTCCCCAAATATACAATCACTCGATTATCTCTGTTCCTTCTTCAAAATATCTCCTACCTCTCACTTTCCACTTCTACTTTTCCCCTTAACATCCTAGCACTGTGAACCTTGTGTCTGCCTGGTTTCGGCAGAAGCCTCCAGCTGGTTCCTTCCGTGCTTCCAGATTATGCTGTACACTGCTGCCAGACGCCTCCCCCCACCTACCTGCCCTGCACCCTCGTGAGATCCCACATCGCCTTTGTCAAATCAAATCCGCACAGCCCTGCACTCCAGGCTGCGCGCATCTGACCCCCCCGGGGCTTTCCAGCCTCAGGCCCCACTCCTCCACTCTCCAGTTCCTCCGTTTAGCCAAAGGGACTGCTCGCTGCACAACATCCTAACACCGTGCTCCTTTCCTCCCGGCCCCACCTGTGGCCCCCAGATCCCCCACAGGCTGTCCCCCTCCTCCCTCCTGCCCTCTCCCAGCCCTCCCTGGAAGCCTGCACGACTCATTATCTGTACGGTTCAGCGTGCAGTCATTGCATACCTCCTGGAACAGGCATTGAAATGGACCAGTGTTATTTCATCTCTCCCGTCTGTATCTCACCGCCCAAACAGTATAAAGCACTTGAAGCTAAAGACTAATAGGTCTTGGTTTCTCCCTACAGTGCCTAATACTTAGAGAGTAGGTGCTTAATACCTGTGTTGATTTTTTTCTTCCCACATACATTGGCCTCAAACAAATAGCCAAGGGCTGGTGAGAATAAAAAGCATCAGTCTCGGAGGCCTGATTTTGGCCACATAGATCTCCCACAAGTCAATTTCATCTTAACCCCTCGGCTCAAGATCGCTCACAGGCATCCTGGGCATCAGCGGCTCGCTGGTCCCCAGAGAGGTCTCTGACCGACCTCGCCATCCCGGCTCTGCCTGCTCATTGGGTGATCGAATTTCCAGGTCCTTCCCTGGTTTCCAGCTAAAACGACACGTCCCCGGGGTGGTGACGGATGGGGGGGCTCCCCAAACCGGAAGCCCTGGCACCCTCGGGGGTGAAGCCCCCTCCAGCGCAGCTCAGGGGCCGACAGAAGCACCCCGAGGCACCCGGCCCTGGAGAGAGAAAGAAGACACTGCACCTTTAAGTCTGCAGCCAGTGGAGAAAAACAAGCTGTGATTTATATAAGCGGGAAAATCATGTGATTTGCGGGAACGCTCCCTCCTCCCCCGACCCCCCTCCCCGCGTCGCCTCCAGCCCTTCCCAGAGGGGCCCGGCCGCGGGGCTCGGCGGGAGGGAGCAGGCCGGGGCGCCGGGGGCCTCCCTCCCCGGCGCTCCCTTCCCGCGGCGCTGCCCTGGGGGGAGCCGGCCGGGCCCGGGGGCCCGGCGGTGC